ATGACTATGGACATCATGGGGTCTCTCCCCATGTCGGCAAAAGGACATTCTTATATTTTAACTATACAAGACCTTCTTACGAAATATTCAGTGGCGATTCCTTTAGCGAATGCTGGAGCCATAGACGTTGCAGACGCTTTCATTGACCACTTCATTTGCATATACGGCGCGCCTAAAGCGCTTTTAACCGATCAGGGTACTCATTTTCTTAACAGTTTAATGAAAGCGATTGCTAAAAGATTTAAAATCAAAAAGTACCAAACGACCGCCTATAGACCGTAAGCGAACGGTTCTATAGAAAGATCCCATCATGTGCTGTGGGAATACCTCAAACAGACAATTAAAGATAGACGTGATTGGGATAATCACCTGAATCTCGCTTGTTTCTCGTACAACACTAGTGTGCACGAGGGTACACGATACACGCCTCACGAACTCATTTTTGGGAAACTAGCGCGTACTCCCTCGAATGAACAGACATTAACGAAACAAGCAAATGGAAGTTATTCTAACCAATCTAGTAGATAGGATAATAAACGTACAGTCTTCAGCATGTAAATATTTAATCCGAGCAAAACTTAGATCTAAAAATTACTACGATAGAAAAATAAATCCGCGTGTTTTCCGCAAGGGCGAAAACGTATATTTGATAAAAGAGCCAATAGATAAGTTAGGGGACCAGTACACTGGTCCGTATAAAATTATAAAAGTGTTAGGTAATAATAATGTGAGACTGAAAATAAACAGCAAGACAGTGAAAACAGTGGACACTGATAAACTAAAACCAGCATCTTCAACAGAAGATGGAGAAGGGGAAAACAGGCCATCGGAGGACTCGGCCTCAGAAGACTCCGACAGTACATGAAGATGACGCCTATAATGATGATCATCTTTTCCGTTCCGTTGGCCTATGGGCTTATCGGCTACGATTGCAGTGAAGAGGGCTTCAACATCTCCACGCTTTCTCTCTTGGACTTAGAAAACTGCGACCTGGAAAACACGGAACCCAAGGAAGAGGAAGTGTACATTCAATTGATGCAGATGTCCGATTATGATAAGATTCCCGCCATACAATGCAAGGTAAAAGTGAACCGTGTAATAACTTACTGTGGGATGCACTCTCACACATCAGTGGTTCACAACGGAAGGAGGGAGTATATACAGGAAATAGGAGAACAAGCGTGCAGAAAACTGCATGGAACTGGAGTGTTAGTCATCACAAATGCAGTGATGGATCTCCTCAAAATTAATGCCACTAATTACAGAGGTGTTACCCTTGCTGGTTCTGCAACGGTAGACGGCAGGTGCTCCGGAGTCCAATACACAAATGGCTACGGATCATGGGAAAATGTAGTGGTACAAGCAGTTGTGAAAATCACCATGAAAACGCTGCACCTCAACGTTAAGCGGAAAATAGGACATGTAATAATGCCATCCGGCACTTATTGCAAAACTTCCGATACATACTGTATTGATGCTGATGGAGCTGAAACTTACTGGTCACCAGTGCCAGTTGACAACTGTCATTTTAATGAATACGATATTTTTTATGAAGGTCTCGCCACCCGGTTGGTACCCACGAACAATTATTCGATGCCAACGGTCTACACGGTGACTACTCAAGATACGACCTTCGCTCTAACCAAGACCAGAGACATGGAAGTGTGCGGATAGCGCAGACCGAGCATCCGAAGTTATTCATTTTGCAAACCCAAAAGGGTAAGACATTTAAAACGCGTTCAAAAATTGCCATTGATAATTTGGACATTTTCCTTTACGTGAACTCTAAGTTTGTGTATGTAGAGAAGTATATTAAAAAACAATTAACGCAACTCTACCAGAATCTAATGGAACAGAAGTGCGCGTTAGAAAAGCAAGTTCTGCAAAACGCTCTTGCCTTAACGAATATCGCGCCGGACGAAACGGCATACCGAATAATGCGAAAACCTGGATATACGTCAGTGCTTTCCGGCGAAGCGCTACATATTGTTAAGTGTATTCCTGTCGAGTGTAAATTGCGCCACGTCGAACAGTGCTTTACGGAACTCCCAGTGACTCACCGCAATTCGTCCTTTTTCCTTCAACCTGGTTCCAGAATACTTATTAAAACTGGAACCCTTCGCGACTGTAATCAGTTGCTACCCGTCATGTATAAATTACATGGCGTTTGGTTTCGGCTATCCCCTAAACCGGTGGAAGTTCCTGCTCCAGCGGTGATTCAACCATTGACACATCCAACCTGGCAATACACCAGTTCATAGTCCTTAGCAACTAGCGGAATCTACAGTGCGGAGGATCTAGATAGACCCGCGCACATATTATGTTTCCCGTCGAACGACCATCAATTATGAATACCATCGCACGAGGCGCGATGGGCAACGAAATCCCAGCAGGAAGTATTTCGTTGTCAAATTTGCTCGACGAGAATTCCCTCAACCGAATAGCCGACTCGGCCGGCAGGCGAGTCTGGGCAAGCTTTGTAACTTTCGGATCTGTGAGTGCTGGAGTTCTCGCTATTTTCATTATTATTCGAGTTACAAAACTTATCATCGATACGATGATCCATGGATATGCTCTACACACAATGTACGGCTGGAGCATCCACCTCATTGGAGCAGTTTGGAGCTCGGTGACGCACCTTCTTCTCCATCTGGGCACCAGGACAAGGAAGGAAGCAGCCACGACAACACCTGACGAAACATCAGGCTCCTCAACTTTCCTTACGGCGACCGAAGATCATCTTCCCCGCCATGCCCACCCCAGTGCATCCACAAGTGCCATTATCAAAGACAATGAACCCTCTATAACTATTAAAGAGTACTCTTACTCAGAACTGCGAGATTATTTACATAAAAACGCACGTACTAATGTCTAAAAGCTAGAATGTTAGCCTACGGTAACATTCTATTATAAGGGGGGGGG